AGGGCCACCAGACTGGTACCGGCACTTCGGCACCTCATCTACCCAGAGAGATTAGAGCGCCTGCAATTACCTAGATTATACTACAGACGGGCAACGGGAGACCTAATTGAGGTGTATATACATCTAAAAGGACAATACTCAGTCGAGTGTCCTTACTTGGAGCTGGCGGACGCTCGCCCCACATGGGGTCACAGTTCAAGGTTGAAGAAGGCGCAAGTCCAGAAAACTGTAAGGGCAAACTTTTTCGGAGTGAGAGTTGTGAACTCGTGGAAAAACCTGACAGTGTTGTGACGGCACCGAGTGTGAGCTGTTTCAAGACCAGACTTGACCAGCACCGGAGCAGGTTTAGATAAATTCAGGAGCCAGTGTATTCCTAGTACTTGCCAACAGTGCGTAACAGAGGCGTGACCGATCGCCCAAGCGGCTAACGAGCCGTTCAGTGGTGAAGAGGATAAAAAAAAGCGCTTCCAAAAGATTTAAATATCAAAACTCAAAACATTAAAATATTCCAGGTGACGGACCTTCATATATAAGTGAAATATTCCATTCACAAACTCAAAGTCCCGGATTAAAACTTTTTCAACAGCTGTAACTTATGACAGTGATCCGACTCCATTACATAACACCTGTAATCCTCTTTACTCGATAAGTCATGTCCATAATTTCTTTCAAACACCTGAGGCTTCGAAATGTTTCAACGAGTCTCTGGCCTACTTACTCACTTATCAATGGCACTTTTGTATATCTTTTGGTTTTGATACAGTTTCGAATAGGATTTATAAGGGAACTCTATTTTTCGTGCGTGAACTTTGTGTAATTCCTGTCTGATATCACCTGCTTGGCGTTATGTCTAAAGGGTAAATTACATGATAAGCCAAACGTTTTCTTATATGGTTACAGTTTGTTTGTATGTAGTGTTATAATTATGAATGTGTGTGTGTGTGTGTGTGTGTGTGTGTGTTTATATCATATATGTGTGTAAATATACAACGTGTGTCTGTATATTCGTAAATATCCGTATACGTGTATGTGTATGACATTATGTGCGTAAATATGAGTACAGTATACGAATATGTGTAAGTAAGACGTACGTAGATTTGAATTTATGTACAGTATATATACGTATGCTTATTATCCGTGTACGTGTAATTTCCCACACCAACCCTGTGAACGACAGGGGCTTAATTGACTTAGAGAATATTTATAACCAATCAAAAGGTTCATTCACCTCAACATACAATGTGCAACAGACAGTCATTAATTATCGGTTCTTTTATGGTGTCTGACCCCTCGGTTCCCACATACTATTCAGCCAACGAAGGGAAAGTGATATATGATACAGCTTACAGGATCAAGTTACAGTATATTATTAACAGAAATAAACACCCAGAACGATACATCTCTCATATATATGTATAACAAACTCTCCAATATATTATGTTCCTTCTTGATTTATAAATGAACGAAAACACCGAAAACAATGGTCGCTTTAAGAAACGAAAACCTCGAAAACACCTGAAAAATATTATCCCTTCAAACACATGGACAAAAATGGAGTTGAATTCTCCTCCAAAAACATACATATTAAGAGTATCTTCCTATCAATATAATGAAAGATACAACATATCGCTGTCTTCTGCTGCTCAAGGGGTGCCAATATGACCAAGGTAGAGGGAAGGGGTTGGAGATGGGGGTTGGGGAAGTTTGGGGGTAAGGAGTGGGGAAGGGGATGATTGGAAAGTGAGGGAAGTGGGGGGAGGGGGTGGAGTATGGGGCGAAAGGGGGTGGTTGGAAGGTAGTGGGAGCAGGATGGGGATGGAATGTGAGGGGAGAGAGGGAGGGGTGTTGGGAGGGTGAGACAGTGTTACCAAAGAGGAGTTTGTTAGCTACGCCATCTCTTCTGTCAAGTGTCACCGGTCGTCGTTGACAGGAAGGGGAGATTGAGTTTCTCTGGGGTTAATGGGGGTTCTCTGGGGTGAGAAGGTTTCTCTGGGGAATGAATGGTCTTTGGGATGATGGAGATTATCTGGGGGATATCATGATTGGCTAATTCTTCAGTACCATGATTGGATAATCCCTAAAGATTCCCAAAATTAATGACATCGTACCTAATACCTGCTGTTGGTATGATAATTAATCTTGATACCTGTACGTTCTCTTTTTTAACACATAAAATATACATAGCATCAGAGACGTACGTTAAATATGTACATATATGCCATCATTATATTTTTTAGGTATACTACTACTGTATATTATGTATTTCGGTGATGTGATAGTTATAGTCGATATGGTAAATGGCGACGACATGGCAATTACATTATGTACTGTATTAGTCACTGATAAATACACTTGATATTGTATTTATCAGTGATAAATACACGATATTGTTCTGGTCGGATATGGTAATAACACATAAGCAGTGTATGTCATGGAGACGATAATTACAGCTAACAATGCACCTGCAGCCCCGTCAGGTCCTGCCACAGTCATTAGTTGTAAATTAGTGTCATGTCAGCCTGTGTTATGCAGCGCTTGTGTCAGCTAACACCAAGATGCATTAATCAATGTATTAATATGTGTCTGTGTCAGTACAAATATTAATATCAGTCAGCCTATATATGCTTGAGTGTATGACGTGCAGCACGGCGGGTTATTTGGCTGACACTTCATGGCTAAAAATGCATTATAAAACTTGCAGGCATTGCGTGAATTACAATTTAGAATATAGATGCATTGCGACATACACATAAAAAAAGTACAATACCTATAATACATATGCAATGTATCATAAATGAATTACAATATACAGTATGTACTCTACTTATTGTATACAAAAACGTATATACATCATTTATAGATTACAACATACTATATACATCATAATAAAGAAATTACATAAATACAACATTTAACATATATATATATATATATATATACAATCAACACCTCAATCTGCCAGGATTCGAACCCACGGCCCACAAGCCCATAACTGTGACCAGGGAACGCTAACCACTGGACCACCAGGATACTAAAGCGTTACTAGACTTTGTTATATTTCATACAAAGCCTGTTCAACGAGCTTATGGCGCCGTGAACCTCTAATGGGGACTACCCGTATCACGTAGGTGGTGAGAGTAACGTTTTACCAAATCCGGCTTCGAAACACGAGGATCCATATATATTTCATTAGCTCAAAGCACGCGGACTTCTACATACAATCAACACCTCAACCCGCGGGTTGAGGTGTTGATTGTATGTAGAAGTCCGCGTGCTTTATTGGGCTAATAAAAAATAAATAAAATAAAAAAAATAATATATATATATATATATATATATTAGTTAAGAAAGATACTTGCTTATCATCATTACGTATCAAGCTGTAATCACCCGTCCAGGTCTATTCTTGTTCTAATCATGAATTTAGACGTATATGTTAATGCACCTGTGTATAAGTATATGAACAGAGACCTATCTTGCTAGTACGTATAAAACTACCCAGTTTACCGGTATATATTAAACTATAATTAATAGAGACCCAATTTACCGGAATATATCAAGACACCTAGCCCTGTACTGTATATTACCGGTAAATCTTTACAAGAGAGATATATTTTTACAGCACCCATAAATAGGGAGATAGTCTTCCACTATCCAATAAGAGAGAGATTACTAACCATGGTAAGAGATATTTTACGAGTATCCAACAGAGAGACATATTTCCCTCATCATTCATTAACAAGAGCTGATTTATTTTATTTCCTTCTTATTGTAAAGAGAGATAGAGAGAGACCCAATTTTTCCCAGCTTCCATCAAAAGAGATTGAGAGAGTCATATTTCTCTCTCATATATAAATATTTTCGCTAGCGTTCATCAAAAGATAAATAGAGACAGGCTTATCTCTCTCTCTCTCTCTCTCTCACACACACACACGGTACACGTTCGTCCCAGCGCATTGGGGCCAACCAACGTGTCACTGAAGTTCATCAAAGTCGAAACTGTGTCAAGTTAAAATAACTTCCTCTGTGTTATGTAGGTCATTGTTATTTGTTTTTTTTACTGTAATGACTTTGTTCGATGGTCAGTGTCATGGTAATTTTTTTTTCATGGTCACTACAAGTAGAAACATTGTTTTTATAGATGTTTATATTCTAGATTTTATGAAAAAAAAGGTGTTTAGTTCAGTATAATAATTATTTAAAAACATCGGGTGAAAAATGTTAACTTTGGAAATGAATCTCATGTTAGAAATTAAAAAAAAAAGTGTCTCTTAACGTTGGTTTCATCACAAAACTTTTAATCTGTGTTACCAAATGAATGAAAAGACAAGGAAACAGCGACGATGGTGATTGAATCTTTTAAAATAGGCAGATTTATATTACAAATTTAACCAGTCTCCTTCTATAATAAATTCAACTAACGCAAAAGAAAAAATAAGCAACACACACATTACCAACTAATTATATTTTTGCCAATTAAATAATCTCTTTATTGTAAATACAGTATATCAAGCTTAAATATTTAGACGTGTAGTTATCAGTGGTACATGCACCTGTACAGTCCCCTTCACTAGTGCGTTACACACACAATTGTTTACTATATCTCTGGCCAACTAATCTTTCAGATGCTCGTTGTCTCCGTCTCACACATATTTCACTTATTTCATGTTTTTTTTTTTTTTGCCTTTATAATTCCTCGTGATTTCCATTTTGTACAATAAGTATATTTTATTTTAAACGTTTCCTGTTTTTTTATCACATTAGTTTAACTCCTCGTCGCTTTTTTATTACTTTTATGATAATTTTTTTAGTTGTTTGTTGCACCACATTTTTTCATCGTCTCTTTAATGCATATCGTTTTCTACCACTTTTCAACCCAATTCGTTTTCTGTCTATTTTTACAATTCTCCGTTTTCTATATTTGTTAACACATCTCATTTTCTATCACGCTATGTTGTTTTTTATGACTTTTTAACAATACATTCTTTATTTTTTTTCAGTCGGACATCGATGAGAAGACCATGCACGGTGAGTGTCTCCAGGATGACCTCACTTAAGACTCTTCATCGGGATCTTCAAAAATATAAAGTTTGGAGTCTCTAAAAATTTTAAGTTGGGATTTTCAAATAACTTTAAGTTGGATTTCTCGAATTATCTTAAGTTAGCATTTTCAAATAATTTAATGCTGGAATTCTTAAATATTTTTAAATCGGGAATCTCAGATTATCTTAATTTGAGATACTTTTGGTAATCTTGACCTGTAAATTATTATCCAGTAAATTAAAATCAGGTTAGGTTTGATTAGTTAAGTTAGTCATATTAGGTTGCTTATCCATTAGTTAATTAAGGATCTAGGAAAAAAATAATTAGATTTGGTAAATATATGTCGTAATGACTCTTGGACTAATTACACTTGTTTTTGCGACCCTATTTAATACGTCACCTGTAATATATCAAAGGTGATTAATGTTTTATTTTTTATGTCATTCTGGAGGTTATAAATTAGTTAAACTCATAAATGTAAACACATGCGTTTGTACTATCAACCAGACATGCAGCGACCCCACCCTGGCTCTCGTCTGCCATCAAACTTATGTTAAATTATATTATATAATACTTACATTGTAAAGAGAATTAATTTCTTCGTGAAACACTGAAGATTAAGATGTGCAACATGTATTCTTGAAATTTCACTGAGTATTGTGGCGGCTCTGGTTGTAATGGCGTTGCCAATTTTTTAATATAATTTCATTCATTATTCAAGCAAATATAAAAACATTTGGAAATTTCTCATGATCTTAAATAACGATGAATATTATTATAAAAATGCTGCCTTTTGATTGTTTAATATTTATCCTAACAGTGATACAGTCGAAAATAGATCCACCAATCACAATCGTCATTACATACAGCCTAAGAGTTGGATAGTAATTAAGGTTTATTTTTAGTACGTACTGTATTCAAGTAACTATCCAATCACATGACACAGGACAAACTTAGAAGCTAACCTATCACAAGCGCTTCTTTACATCTGGACCAATCACATGCATTCTTTCATATCGTTTCATCTACGTACACAAGCGACGAACATAAGAGTTTAAGCGCCCAAGCCGCCCATTCCTTGTTCGATGCTACTACGGAGACAATAATCATGCACAAACATCTGCCCAGGTTCTTCCCGACATTATGTGACTCATCTCTCAAGCTTAACCTGCATCTGCTGGTTGTGAGCGTCTGTTTAGTCATGATGGGCTTATACTATTTAGGCCTATAAGATTCTGATTGGACAGCCATAATTTTGAGAATCAGTTATTGATTAAGCTCAATAGAAGGATTTGCAAATAAACATGTGTAATGCTGTGTGTCTTATTTCTACCTTTAGTTCACTAGTTTTGTTATAAATTACTGTGGATTTATTTTAATATTTGAAACGATTAATAATTTTGTTGGTACTTTTTACTTTCACTACTAGAGTACTTTATGAACTAAATACTTTTTACTTCTACTTGAGTACATTGAACTTTGGATACTTTTACTTTAATAACATTTTGTTACTGTAACAATACCTTAACACGTTAATCGGGATGTGCGCCACTCTTGGTACAGTATGCACTCCTTATCATCGCGTATTTCGCCACCTGTGGTACAAACGCATATTATTTTTTTATATCCTCTTTTTCATATATTAATGAGGAATCTCGATTTTTTTTAATATTTAAAGGTTGAAGTGAAAATACGACCAATAAAAAAAAATTGGGCTCACCACGGGTGGTATAATACGCAAAAATGTTGAACATAATAAACGCCATCGCGTCTTGAACCACCCGTGGCTACGCCCATGACCATACAGGAAGTGCTCCATTAGTGGAGCAAGGCGCGATCCATGAAATAAAAAATATTTGCTTGGCATGTTGGGCCACGGATGTCACACCAATTTTATCGTCTTATTGGCAACTCTTTACCACAGACAAGGTGTACATACCTCCTCTCGCTTCAGGAAGACGCAACAGAGGCGAGAGCGCGCGGGGTTTTCAAATGCGGTTAACAGAGTTCGGTACTTTTTACAATTCTGGCCTTACTTCAAGTGTTGCCAGGTAAAATTGAGAGTATGAGAGCCAGGGTGGGGTCGATGCATATTTGGCGGACTGTACCTACCAACAAGATTATTTACACTTCGTTTGTGTTAATAAGACTCAATATGTGTTCCTTATGGTAAATATTCAATCCGTTTTCATAAAAGTTAACGAGAAATTAATAAATCCACGTTTAACGATATTATCTACGCGTTCAACCATATTTAATGATATTCTCTACGTGTTCGGCCATATTTGACAAGACTCTCTACGTGGACGTCCACGTTTAACGAGATTCTCTATACGCTCTTGTCGCTCGCTTTCATATTTAACGACATGCTACAAGTGTTAACGAGAGAGACAACATGTTAATGATTATACCAGTGATACACGTTAACGAGAGAGACACCAGGTTAACGACTACACCATATACGCTTAACGAGTTCTAAAGCAAACCTCATGTGGCCTCAAGGTTGGTTCATAGCGTGGAGTTCATCAGGGCAAAGTGTGCGTTTATCCCAGCTGCCACAACATCGCTCCCTTCTGTGGCCGCGAACTACTCAACCAGGAACTAGGTCGCAATAAATGAACCCTTTTTGTTGGTTTATTTTATTGAACTTTCTGTTTTGTTTTCAGCATCATTGGTTACAGGGACGTTTTTATTTAATAGTTTGTCATTGTGTTTTCTTACTGTGATGATGGTGATGTTATAGGCTAAATGCAATTATTATTATAGATTTTATAATCATTACTTATTAATTGTAGTAATAAATCCGGTATTAAATGCAGTTTCATTCTCAATTGGGCTATGGAAATTTTGGGTTCACCAGAAGTTGTATCTCAACAATTGCAACAGCTTTTTCTCTCTTTCTCTCTACACTTCTCTCTGGCTTTCTGTCTTTCTACTCTCTTATTCACCAGACCTTCTTTTTTAATCAAACCTTACAGCTCTCTCTTTCTCTCTCCCTCTCTCCTTCATATCTTCGTTGAACACACCCAGTTACTCACTCTCTCTCTCTCTCTCTCTCTCTCTTCGCATCTCCATGTATTCTCTCACACACCTAACCTCACCCCCCTCTCCCTCAGCCCTCCGTAAGGCGTTCGCGACGGTGGACAAAACTAAAAAGGGTTACGTGGAAGCTAAGGACCTGGAAGGGATCTTCAACAATATGGGCACCGCCTTTGAAGTAGAGGACCTCAACGAGACCATCAAAAGAGTCGACATCGATCGTGAGTTGTTGAATCTTGTACAAAAAAAATGTCAAAATATGCCTACTACCTCAAAATTCAAAATCAAGAGAGGTAACATGGATCATAAGTTTTAGAATCCTAAAAAAAAGTTTTTCAAATATTCTAGTCAATTCAAAATCTATAACGCCATTGCAAAGATATTTTTTAGGAAATTAGCATATCAACTCGTATTCAAAATTAACTGAAAAAAAAATTGCTTTAAATCCAAAGTTCGGAAACCGAAATCAAAATGTAAATAATAATTATTTAGAAACAACAATATCAAAATGTAACTTAACCAGATTGTGTCAGTTATGTTGTTCCTTTGTAAATTTACTCTATTATTTAACTTACTACACTAGAAAATAATTTCTAAAACTCACCTATATATTTTTTTTTCATTTTAACTTGCGTCAATTTCATAATAAATGACCAGATTTTAAATGTTTATATATTAAAATCTGGGTATTATTTTTCTTTGACACTGTATAATCTGATATGTGACATCAGCTTCACAAAAGTAATAATAAACCTTTTATAATTACGGAGGAAGCTTACCTAACCTATTCTAACCTAATCTAACCTAACCAGCATACTACAACGAATATTATTTTCATCTCAGTTTTATTAAAAGCAATCTCGTAGGTAATGGCAGGATTAATTTACCTCTGAGAATATGAATGATAACCAATTTGGAAACCAGATTAGCCCATTAGGGTCTGCAGGTGTTCGTAATTGGTGAGGGAACTGAAATGGGTGGATATTCTGATCCCTTAATCTAGGTCACCTGCCACTGAGAGAGAGAGAGAGAGAGAGAGTGGGGAAGGATATGTGGACATAGAGGAAGGGGAAGAGAGAGGAAAGAAGGTTCAGTGGAGGAAATAGATGAGAGAGAAAATATATGGCTGAGATGGGAAAGAGTAAAAAAAAAATATGAGAAGTAATAGAGTGCAGAAGGGGAGAGGGAAGAAACAGAGGGGAAAGGAAAGGGGGAAGAGTGGGTCAATGGTACAAGTGAGAGGGGAAAAGTCATACAAGAATGAGGGTAATGTGAAAGGACGAAAGGAAACTGTATGTAAAAGTGAAAGAGGAGAAGTAGATGAGAAAGAGGGAAGATATATGGCAGAATATAGGAAATATGAGAGAGAGAGAGAGAGAGAGAGAGATTTATAATAAAGATAAGACATTTTCGAGCCCTAAATCCTAATGTGTATATTTTGTACCATACAGAAATAAATTAATTATCTCTCTCTCTCTCTTTCTCTCTCTCATTAACTTGTCTCACTTTACAGAGGATGGGAGGATCAACTTTGACAAGTTTGTGATCATCGCTTCCAATTTCTTACAAGAGGACGACGAGGAGACCATCACCAATGAGCTTCGGGAGGCCTTCAGGCTCTACGACAAGGAAGGTGAGAGGGAGAGAGGTGTGAGAGGGAAAGAGGGGTGAGAGGGACTTCAGGTTCTATGATAAGGAAATTGAGAAAAAATAATGACAGAAAAAAATATTGAAAAAAGTTTATAGGCACAGGGAACGAGGGAAATAAACACTCGAGGGGAGGGGGGGGGGGGAACAAAGTCTATTGACTGCTCTGCTGACTTTATCCGCCCCCACTTTTTGAACGGGCGCGCGACCTCTCTCTCTCTCTCTCTCTCTCTCTCTCACACACACACACTACTACTACTACTACTACTACTACTACTACTACTACTTTGGTGTCACTCGGAATCGAGTATGACGATCACCAGCTTTGATACAATGATATGAGTAATTAAGGATGTCACCTTCGTTGGTGACTTTTAAGGTGACTAAAGAGGCCGATACGGGACCGACAGGATTGTTCACAGATGTTGCACATGTGGAGGGATCCATCTAGTGCGGGAAGGGCAGCCACAGCATGTTTCCTCGGTTTGCAGTCGAGCGTACTCAAAAGTATTGAAATCTTCTCGTGAGGTGCTCTTCCAAGCGTTGTGGTGTGGAGTAATCGTCTCCCAGGTGAGGTGGTCGCTTTGGCACTTTTTCAGGTTTGTCTTAAGACAATCCTTATACCTTTTCAGTTGCCAGCCACCGTTACGTTTACTATTCGTTAGGTGACTATAAAGTAACTGCTTTAGAAGTTTACTGTCGTTCAAGCGCTAACATGGCCAGTCCAGCGTAGTTGTTTATGGATAATGGCAGCCTCGATAATCCTACAGTTGGTGTCAGCAAGAATACTGGCATTTGTTCTCTTGTCTTTCCAGCGAACTCGAAGGATGGAACGTAGACTACGTTGGTGAAAGTTTTCAAGTGCCTTCAGGTGCCTCCTATATGTGACCCATGGCTCGCTGCCATATAGCAGGGTGGGGAGAACCACTGCTGGATATACGTGCAAGTTTGTAGATAATTTCAGCTCCCTAAAACTGAAGACATGGGTGCGCAGTCTACCAAGGGCTTGAGATGCACATCTAATCCGATGTTGAATCTTTTTATTGATGTCTGCAGTGGTGTACAGGTAGGAGCAGAGATACCGAAAATGAAGAACATTAGAGAGGGTAGTACCGTTAACCTAGATGGATGGTGGAGGTGTGGTTGAACCATGGGCAGATGGAAAGAGAATCTGAGTCTTACGAACATTCACCTCAAGGCCAAACTGTGCATACGCATCTGCATAGGTGTTCAGGATCTCCTGTAGATAGCGTTCACTCTAAGTGACAAGAGTGAAGTCGTCTGCATACTGAAGTTCAGTAATGGAAGCCACTGACACCTTCGTTCCTGCCTGTTTTACCCCCGTTTGGATGAGGAAAACTCAGACTGAGTGCCATTGTGCAGGACACTGCCATTCATGCCAACGTGGACATGCCTCACAATGGCGATGAATTTTGGTGGGCAGCCAAAACAGCTGAGGGTCCACCAGAGGGCTCCCCTGTTGACCGAGTCGATGAAGGCCATGTACAGGTCACGACGCTGTTCTCTGCACTTTCCTGTATCTGGCTGGCAGCAAAGATCATATCAATGGTGCTACGCGATGGTCTAAAGCCACATTGTAATTCTAGGAGAAAGTTTTCCTCCTCATGGAGAAGTCTGTTTAGGAGGACTCGGGCAATAATCTTGCAAGCTACAGACAGCAGCGAGATCCTGCAGTAGTTGCCACAGTCTGACCAGTCTCCCTTGTTCTTATAAATATTGATGATGGAGGCATCTTTAAGAGCTTGGGTTTTTTCCTCATTTTCCCATATATTTTCCAGGAAAGAGTAGAGATGGCTAGTAAGCTGAGGGTTTCCTGCTTTATACACCTCGATTGTGGTTCCATCAGGCCCTGAGGCTTTGTCATTTTTCATCTGTTTCATGGCAGTAGCTACCTCATCCAGAGATGGAGGATAGCTGAGATGGGTCAGCTCTGGATAGTGAGGGACCTGCTGAGTAGTCAGGATGTCCACATCTGTGATTCGGTTGAGCAGCTCTTTCCAACGCTGGCGGATGCCTTCTTCGTCTTTAATTAGGGAGTTACCGTCGAATGAGCGGACGGGGGATCTGCCATCAAAGATTTGTCCATAAAATTGTTAGTGGAATTTAAAAATTCGCGCATCTTGCGTTGATTTGTAAGTTTTTGCGTTTCACATGTTTTATTTTTAAACCAGTCGTTCTTTTGATTGCAAAGTTCGCGCTGGGCCACCGCTTTCTTTTAGTGGAAGGTATCAGCTTTGGTCTGAGACTGAGAGTTGTTCTGCCAGCCCATTAAAGCAACACGTTTATCATTGATGAGTACATTGATTTCCGGGTCAATTTTATCAAACCAGTCCTGGTGTATTTTCTCGATCTGGCCGAGGGTCTCTCTGCAGGTTTTTGTCTTGACAGTGTCGAGAATACCCCATTCAGCACTGGGATTTGGGATGTTTGTTTTCGGGTTGTTTATAAGGCCATGTTCGAGCTGATCTCTGAATAGTATGTGCTACCGCTGGATCCTCCAGAGGCTTAGTGTTAAAACCTCTTCTGGAGGCTTGTTGCCTTTGCCATTTTGGGGCGACGTGAAGTGAGAGCTTGGCTCTTATGAGCCGATGATCAGTGTCACAGTAGTCTGAGCCTCGGATTGCTCGGGTGATGAGGACATCTCAAACCCTTGAACTTGTCGGCCTGCCTTAGCAAAGTATTGGTTATTGTGAGGTTGTGTGCAACACATTTGTTGAGGAAGCGTAAACCGTTGGGATTACACTTGCCCAGTCCATTTCTTCCTATGGTTCCCTGCCAAATGTCAGAATCTCTGCCAACTCTGGCATTGGAGTCACCAAGAAGCAAAGCCTTATCTTCTCTGGGGATAGAAGTTAGCACTCTGCCAAGTTCAGCGTAAAAGGCTTCCTTGATTTCATCCTCTGCATCCAATGTTGGGGCGTATGCACTGAAGAGCGCATAACAGGCATTTCAGTTAGCCTGTGTAGGATGTGGTGACGCATGGCAAAACCAACTCCATAAATGCGGTTTCTCTCAGCAGCAGGCTTACCCTTCCAGAAGAAGGTACAGTCAGAACCCCGTTCCTTGAGTTGACCCTCGCCTGTGAGCCGGGACTCACTAATGGCTCTTTTGCCACAAGGGCGGTTCTTCATTCTGGACGAGCATTTGTGCCAGTTTCTAGAAGGGTCATGACATTCCGTCCAGCAACCATAAGAGGTTATATAGTTTTTTTGTTTTGATCTGGGATTATAATTGTGTTTTCGATCACATAAGGATGACCTTACTCGCTGCAATTGTCCAGTTAGGTTGGTTCTTTAGGCAGGCTATGTTCAGGGCACCTCTTCTAGCAGAGTTCCTCCTCGAAAAGGCTGCTCAGTCGTACAGGCAGGACCGGAGTGCACTGCTGCCTAGATCCCAGTGCATAAGCGACTATCTTATCTGTGCCGCCCATGTGCAAAGTTTTGACTAGAGACTCCAGGCATTCATCTCTGCCTGTCTCCGTCGCTACTCGTCCATCGCCACAGGACTTTTAGGGTGTAAGGATTTGATGATGCTGATGAGTATGATGAGCTGGATGATGACTGCGCTTGAGTTCATTAATGTGGTGAGGCAGGAGCGCAGACTGCAACCACACTTCATGGCTCTCCCTTTTCCTGATCCAGTGGTACAAGTGTTCCAATGACTGGGGAGAGGGAGAGTTGCATTGGACTGCCAATAGTCCTGTTTGTTGGGTTCTGCCTTAGTTGCCTGTCCATCATGCATTACCTTTGTCCGCCGGTGTAGTCGTTGGGTTCCCATGTTGGTCACCTCTTCCGCTTATACCGCCGGTAGGGTCTTGTTGAATCTCTGCCTGAAACGGAGCTACACTGCAGATTTTTCGTTCGGGGTTTACTCCCCTAACCTTATACCTACGAAGGTTAATCCATAAGCAGCGGGGCAGTGGTTTATAGGCGCCAGGACGTGTCCACGTGCCAGTGGGCCTATGCGCCGTCCCTCTGGGGCTGATTGCTACTCCGAGATCCCCTGCTGGTCTAGCCTGGGCCCACAAGGCACCCAGTCGCCGTGTGTTGCCATGAGGAGGCACAGCAATTGTCTTGATGGTGAAGAGGCTGTGTACTGGCAGGGGAAGACTTATGCAAGTTGCTTCCCTGTTCGCCACGAAGGCTAGCCAGCGAAGGTAGCTGAAAACGAGAGGAAGCAAGCAATGCTTGCACCTTAACACAAACATAATTCTGCTACACTCGAGGCCTTACACCACCCTGTGTAAATACACACCTAACCTAACCTAACCTACGCACGCACGCGCACAAACACATACACGCACACACACACACACACGTATTACATAATACATACAAATTGTTTCCTGAACAACCACAGTGAGTTGTCAATGATTCATTTAATGTAGTGGAAAATAATGATAAAAATAATCCGGTAAATGATTAGAAGAACGGAAGCTTGAGTGAGGAATGAATGTTCAGAAAAAACTAAAATTAACCGATAAATTTCTTTATGAAATAAAGGAAGGATAATTGTGAATAAAAAATTTAATAAAGGAATGTATTACTTAATATTGGATAATATGTTAGGCTCAAAGACCCAAAACGAACACAGAGTTGGTCGATTTTTTTCTTTCAGTGAGAGTTTAGTCAACCTACTATGAATTTTTCTTGACCCAACTGATGGATTTTTCGCCTGTGTTATTTTTTCTCGCTTGCAAGGTATCCAGATACGGGCAATTACTTTTACTTATATATTTGTCTTGTAATGATAACAAAATTCAAAAAGATACTAGTTGATAATTTAATAAACAATCCTGTATCATATTTTGCCATAGTTTTTAGTCTAGTGTATTGTGTTTGTTTTTATTTGTTATTGGTTACGTTAGGTTAATTTATCCTATCCTGTCCCCCAAAAAACCTTATCGTGCTATTTAATCCTGCAACACGTGATTCTCCTTCCTTATTCAATATAAATTTCGCTATATGTATGTTGCTCTTCACTCTTTACCTGACTACTTCCCTTTGCTCCTGCAGAGAAGGGCTATATCACTACGCAGACGCTGAAGGAGATCTTGAAGGAACTAGACAACAAACTCTCGGACAACGACCTAAACGACATCATTGACGAGATCGACGAGGAAGGCAAGGGGAAGGTCGACTTCGAGGGCTTCAGAGAACTTATGATTTAACCCCTTCGTCAGGGACCTATAAAATGTACAGAGAGGACCTGCTACTGCTGGTGGTGGTGGTGGTGGTGGTGGTTTCTCTGCCACGGATAATGCCAGCGAGGGTTGGTGAAGGAAGGGCGCGTCTAGGTAAACACAAACACCGCTAATACAGGATATTTAAAGAGTCTGTTGTTGTTGACTGGAAATTAAGGCTGAAAAAGAACTGTCGCTATGAAGAAGATCGCTCTAAGTTTAATTTATAATTTATTGATCTGTTCAAAGGTATTACAGGATAATTCAAATAAACTTTTAAGTAAATATATGTATAACTTAACTTATAAGGGGTTTTTGGAAAGATATTACAAAATCATTAAATTGACATTTTTTTAAAGAAACTCAAATATGATTCTCAAATTTTACGCAATATAAATTTTACTATATAAGAAATTCTTTAAATTATTACAAAATATATCTGAATGAGAGGAATAAGAGTGGATATGAACGATAATTTTAGCAGATGTATTTTCTAAAGATATTATAAGATAAATTTGGTATATTGAATCAAGGGGTGTATTTAAAGGATATATTGAAAGGTGAATCTATGAGACTCGGATAACAGACCTAAACCCTTGGAAACACATGGAAATTTTATTATAAAAGACAGAAATAACGATATCATAAGGCACACTATGGGCTCTCTAACGCACATTGTTTCCTCTACAAACTAGGTTGATAATATACTAGGGGATACCTAGAATTATCAACCTGAAAGATGTATATGTTTTCACCATAATAACTTCTCTTGGCTGAAGTGTTTCTGTTTACAACATTCTACAAACCCACTTGCAGAAACTTTTAAAATATGTTAAAATTTTGACAGATGTGTTAGTTAGGTCCATCATTGCATGTTGATTACTGTTTTACTTTCTGGATTTTACATTTAGATTCTGAACCTCTGAAAATGTATAATTTGAGTGAAAATTTCCAGTATCTGCCTCTGACGACCTACATGGATTGACGGATCAGAAACTCCCTTAACTTCTATACACACAAGAACACGACTTTTACAATTATCTCTCTTCTTTTTCTCTCACACCCACATCACTATGAAAAATAACGTCGACTCTGTTTAGCAGGGATTCTTCTTCCTTGTACAGACTTAAAGATATCCTCGTTTTACAATAAGCCTGTTTGGAAGTCTCTCGGCAGTTTGAGGCACTTTTGAACAATATATATATATATATATATATATATATATATATATATATATATATATATATATATATATATATATATATATATATATATATATATATCCAGGATTTCCACGGATCTAAATTAACTTTCTTGGCACATAAGTGACTTAAATTTCCTGCCACACGCCTCCATGTAGAAGACCAATTCTTTCGTGAAATGTCATCTTGCAAGTTGACTAAATGAACCGGTCGTGTAGTAGTGCATTCAACTTTTTTCTTATATATCCCAAAAATAACTAAATATTTATATTTTAGTAAAAAATATTTTTTTTGTCAACTGAGTTAAGACAAATGTGTACATTTCTTTACCTCCTTGATAGGTATATTATATAACTATAAACTCGATGTGTGTGTGTGTGTGTGTGTGTACTGTACATGTTCAGCTACGAATGTGACTGTTTCACGTTTAGTGACAAATTCTAGATGTAAAATGTCTGTGAATGTATCACCTTCAGTAAAAGATTATCGCGTGACATCATACTTTCAAGTGATTTATTCTTTCACATTTAATAAGTCTATCTAACTTGAAAGTTGTTGTATGAATGAGACAACGGAGGTAACACCGTATCTGCCTCAGTGAAGCCGACCTCACCGTATCCTTTCTACTGCTGATAGTGAATAGTTCTTCTGTTTAACTTAATACAGTCCAAGATCTGCGTGTTACCGAGGTTGTCAGGAGCTCGGTGAGAGTCGACCAGCGGATGGCACGTGTCCGTGTGTTACCTACCACAGGTGAATATAAAGTGTTATTTATTATAATGTCTTTCATTTCACTCCTCTTTACGAGTTGAAAGAAAAACACGTTGCCAGCAATATCCTGAGATAATTTAATCGAAAACTATTTAATTTCTAGCAGCAAGTGTAGATCTTGGAAGAATTATTTTTATGAAAATGAGTTGGATTTACTGAAAGTATTATTATAAGTCTTATTATGGTTTCTGAAGAACTTTCACAACTTCGATCTTATTATATGACTTTTAATATAAACTTCATAAAAATTTTTAAACAGGATGAAAAAGGATAATCATTTATGGGGAAAAAATGGCTTATAAATATGTAATAATGTAAACATAATTTATATACAGTTGTGGACAAAGTTCTCTGGACACTTGGCAGCATTTGGCGTGTAAGAACTTGGGATTATAATTTTAACGTATTTTCTCAGATTTTTCTTTCCATTTTGTGGTTTCGACATACTGTGTGATGAAGAGCAGCGTTATATAAACCAACCATTCATATGACCCACAAGTACAGTACATGCTGGATATTGTCAAATGTTCAGGGAATTTTGTCATCAGCTGTTTATACATTACAGTAGAAATTAACATTCAGATGTAAGAATATCAAAATACATAAAATATTAAAGGTTACGGATAAATACATATAAATAACTTCAAATAACATGTATTGATAAATACTCAGCAGCTCGTTCTTACTATAAAAACACGCAATTCAATATTTTTTTCTTTAATTGGCACACGTTAATATGATAAGTTAACTTCATAATCGTAATCATAATCATAATAATCATAATCATAATCATAATCATAATAATAATAATAATAATAATAATAATAATAGTTAGCTGTATTCATAAACACTCATGAGAATAAATACATTTTCAATGTCTGACAAAAAAAGCTTATGAGCGTGGCAGCAGCGGTAATTCTCTGATGAGGTAAGGTTTAACTCACAAACATAGTACAGTATCTCTTCCCAGGTAAGTCTTCATTCAAATTTTGATGTATCAATTGAAGACATTTTAGATATAGCTATGAATTAAATAACTAAGTAATCTAGAAGACAGGTTATTGATGTAATTAACTGCTTTTAAAAGAGGAGATTAATGTAGCGGAATTATTTTTGGAATTATCACGCATATAATAACTACAGACGACTCAGGTTCGACGAGTAAGCAACTGATCAAATTAATAATTATAATGCATGATACTTGACCTCTGTAGCTGCTGACTCTTGGTGATTGTACATTGTTCTCACTGAATTTAAACAACTTTAAAGCCTTATAAATTTTTATTGAATAATGCAAACAGAGGAATATTAACAAAGCTTGTAGACATTAGGCTTGAGTTTCATTTGGTGCGTGGGTACATATCAGTAAGGTAGTGTACGTTAGGGTGCGTGAGGGTAGACATTCAACATGTGCACCATTCGTAGCACAGACTAAGTCACAACGGTACTCAATTTTCCTCCACATATTTTTTAATATCTCGAGGGTTTCGGAGGCCACCACCGCTCTGTTAGCTGAAATATGTCCTGCACCTACAGTATGTAGAGTACATTTTGGACTTCACATAACTCGTTTCCTGGTCACCGAGATTGCCTGACCTTAACCCAGCTAAGATTTTTTTTCTTTGGGGTTATAGGGGTTAAAAAAATAATGAATGTCTCACATCTAACCAGATGAAAATGCAAAGGTTTTACTTCCATCTGATTTTAATTAACAACACAACACAACACAACACACCTCCGCTACAACAATACTCCTGGTGTACCTATTTTACTGGAACTATAAAGTTAGTATATTACTAGCGGAAGGCTCCTTCACCACATTAAATGGAGGTCCTTTAAATAGGCTCCATTCATTACGGAGGAGTGCAGTGGCTGAGTTGATTCAGCACTCATTTTTTGTCCTTAATGTCGCAGGTTCGTACCAAGGTCAACAACACCATCTAAGCCAGCTGTAAATCAGTAACTATTTTTACGGTTGGGGAATGAACCGGTCAAGTGCAGTGCCGGCCACACGGTCACCAATATATCAAAATAAATTTGGCTTCAGTGTGGCTGTATCAACACTGACCAGCACTCAAATACAAGGCAGATATTATCAGGAATATAGAGGAAGTTTACACTTTATTTTACACATACACATAACTTTACACTTCACTTTAGTTGGGTGTTGTTGAGGTGTGTAGTGATCACGGGTCTCGAGGTAATATCAGGCAATAATTAGGAACTCGTGGGAGGATGACGTGTGTTTCCTAAGGTCAGGTAAGAATTTAATTAACAAATCACAATCTCTGGGAGACGAAAGACGCGAAGCAGCGAGCCTCCATGGTTTATATGTTTCCACACGCCCACATGTGTGTGTGTGTGTGTGTGTGTAGAATATGTGTGCATTATACTTTGTGCTTTGCTTGTGCTTAACACAACCCTTCCCGAGAACACACTCTTCATTATCTATAAGTAACTCACGCTTCAAGTCAGAACCACATTACAGAGAAGCGCAACTCAACCCGTTCCAACATCGTCCACAATAAACCCTTTCACTATTCACGTAAAACTATGGATAATCTCGTATGCAAATTAATCACATCAATGAAAATCACGGAAAATGAAGAGCCTCTAATGTTCTTTTCTTACAATGACATCAGCTGAATAAACATTGACTTTACGTTCAATTTACATGTTTTCATTTTTTCCCTCATTCGTTTGATGCCAAGTTAAGGGTCTCGTAGTGGTCGGGATTTAGGTCTGTATACATTTTGTTAAATGTGTGTTGGTCATATTGTATGTTTTTGTTTTTTATTGTAGAGGAATTTGCCTCCGTAAATCGACTAGGCTCACGTGAAAATCAGACACCCAGCTTAATTCACCTGAAGATTAGACACCCTAACATTACCTGAGGGGGTAGCTTAGCTTAGTGTGTTTAATCATCAGGTGAAATAAGCAAGGTTGTTTAATCTTTAAGTGATCCGTTCATGCATAGTCAGTTATATATTCAAGCACAATAACTTAATTCATGTAATTTTCTTATTAATTTTAATACTTACCATACCTCATTAGCAGGAGGAAGTCACCGGCATTTAAATATAAAGCTGCGGTATTTATTAATTACCAGTAAGCTCTTTAGGATTGAATCCCAATTAAAAAGGATCAGCTAAACTCTGATCCTCATGGAAAATAATATTGACGAAATATTCAGATGGGAAAATATATATAGTTTCACCATGCGTGTTGCACAGTTAATTCTCAAATATAGGAAAATACTTTGAGCTTCAGGATTACGGCGACTTTGTTTGTATCGACTTATTAATGTGTAAT